TTGTTACCCTTACTGGGAAGTTGTTCTTCCTCATGTTTAAGCGGAACCTCCTATGTTCCAGCTTATATCCATTTCCCCTTGTCCTATCATTGGATGCCACTGAGAAGAGCCTGGCTTCATCCTCATGGCAGTCACCCTTTACATGTTTATAAACATTAATGAGGTCCCCCCTCAGTCTCCTCTTCTCCAAGCTAAAGAGACCCAGCTCCCTCAGCCTTTCCTCATAAGGGAGATGCTCCACTCCATCATCTTTGTGGCTCTGCGCTGGACTCTCTCTCAAGCAGTTCCCTGTCCTTCTTGAACTGAGGGGCCCAGAACTGGACACAATATTCCAGATGCGGCCTCACCAGAGCGAGTAGAGGGGGAGGAGAATCTCTCTTGACCTACTAACCACACCCCTTCTAATACAGCCCAGGATGTCATTGGCCTTCTTGGCCACAAGGCCACATTGCTGCCTCATGGTCATCCTGCTGTCCACCAGGACCCCCAGGTCCCTTTCCTCTGTGCTGCTCCCCAACAGTTCATTCCCCAACTTGTACTGGTACATGGGGTTGCTCTTACCCAAATGCAAGACTCTACACTTGCCCTTGTTGTATTTCATTAAATTTCTCCCTGCCCAACTCTCCAGCCTATCCAGGTTTTTCCAAATGGCAGCACAGCCATCAGGTGTGTCAGCCACTCCTCCCAGTTTAGTGTCGTGAGCAAACTTGCTGACCATGCACTCTATTCCCTCATCCAAATCATCGATGAATATGTTGAACAATACTGGTCCCAGTACCGACCCTTGAGGGACTCCACTGGATATAGGCCTCCAACTGGACTCTATCCCATTGACCAGTACTCTCTGGCTTCTATCCTTCAGCCAGTTCACAATCCACCTCACTATCTGATCATCCAGAGCACACTTCCTCAGTTTAGCTGTGAGGATGCCGTGGGAGACTGTGTTCAAATGCTTTACTGAAGTCAAGATAGACCACATCCACTGCTCTACCATCATCCACCCACTGGGTGATGTCCTCATAAAAGGCTGTCAGGTTTGTCAAGCACGACTTCCCCTTAGTGAAGCCATGTTGACTGCCCCTAATGACCCTCTTATCCTTGATATGCCTAGAGACAGCACCAAGGATAAGTTGTTCCGTTATCTTTCCAGGGATTGAGGTGAGGCTGACCAGTCTATAGTCACCCGAGTCTTCCTTCTCACTAGAGGCAGTTAGAATGTCTCACTAGAGGCAGTTAGAACTGCTTTTGCATACCTTAAAGCGTGAATTAATGACAAGGAAACAGACTTTGTACAGAACTGTTAATGTTGAGCTTGACATAATCTTCAATCTATGAAGGACATTAGCCCACTGACCGCCAGCTCTACCTTCCCTCAGTATGAAAACTATGACTTTTTTTTTCTTTTTAATCATAACATAATCTGTTTCTGAGAGAAGTCCATCTCTCTGCGTCTAAGTTCATTTTAACTCTAAAAATGCATCCCTAAATGGAGAGCTTGAAAAGATTATTAACAATAAGAGGACAAAAATTTGCTGCTTAATTGTTCTCTATGGCTTTGAAAAGTTCCCTAGTACAAGCAGATTTAACTTACAGAAAGGCACAGTAGCTACAAAACCCAGGAAAACTTGAGTGAAAATGAAATTTGCCTCCTTAAAAACAGGTCTTTTTAAAATTTAAAATTACTGATTGTGGATTTAGAAGCCTAAAGTACAGGCATGTAAATATTCTGAGCTTTTATTTTTTTAAACAGGCTTTTCATCCTTACTAAATCAGAGAATCCTGGTGAGTAATGCTATCCCGTTGTTATTTTGGTGCAGCAGCCATGAATCACCTTTATTACTTAACACATCCATTCTGAAGAATGCCAGATTACCATGATTTGTACTGGCATCAGTGTACTGGCATGCGTGGCAGACAGAATTCTATAGCAGTTGGACCACCGACATCAGGATTTTCAAGAACACCAAATGGACTCCTGCTACTCAGTTCCACATAACTGCTTGTGGACACTCATCACCTAATGGCTTGCTAGTTTTGAAAGTTATCTTAAATAAAAAGTAGCAGCCACCATACTGATAAAGGCTCCTAAGTCTCCTGTCCTTATGAAAATTGCCAACATTGTGAAATGAAAATGAAAAGCTGTCTTGGAATTTGCTACCAAATTTCAAGTAAAAACGAAAGTTTCTGTTTCAAAGTGTTGCCAGTGTCTTCCAGTAACTGTAGTTCAGGTGTCTTCTGTCCCTCCTCTCTTCTAAAGCTCAGTGCCTCTAGACTATTCTCTCCTATCACATGCCAGACATCCTCACCAAGCCAGCACAGGTGCTCCTGTTAATGACATGTCATGAGATATAAGACCCAGCTGAGAAACCATTCAAAAGTTTCAGGTAGGAGACATACAAACTACATTTCTGTTAAGGGGTTTCTACCTAATTTGACTTCTCATTAAAATAAAAAGAATAATTATTTTTAAAAATGTTATAAAATATTTTATTGTAAAAATGTTATAAAATATTTTGTCAAATATTTTTTCCAAGTCTCTGTCAGGGCCTTGAATGCACCAAGAGGCACTGCAAACTCTTACCCCTCCAATCCCATGGGTTTAGCTGCCTGGGCTCAAGGCCAGCTCTGCGACTGCAAAACTCTGCAACCTTGGCCAAGACTGTGGTGACAGTGCTGTGCAAGAAAGAGGTGGCAGAAGCCTTGCCAGGCACATCTCCCTTTCACTTGGGAGCTACACTAAAGCCTAGTCTGTGTTTACGCCCTTGGTCCTTGCCTGAGATACACTTACTGGTGTGCCTGTATCTGACCAGGTACTTCACTGATCTTGACCCACAGATTTGACTTTCTGGCTTGACCTTGGACCTGGCTTATCACCACAGAGTCACCTCCAGATCTGAACTCTTGGCTTGACCTCATTTACTATTACTGGACCTGCTCTGTTCTCTTTGTTCAAGTACTGTGGGACTGCTCCTTCATGGGTGATGGCACTGCCCTGCCTACCTTGCTGTCGACTCCCAGCTCAGCTCTGTTGTGGAGCAGCTCACTCTGGCTTCTCCCTAAATGTCAAATTCAGTTGTCAACTGAAAAAAAATAAACGAAAACTTCTCAGACAGCACTTGATGAAAGGTGGGTGGTTCTTTCTACCAATGTTGCTATTAATTCAGCTCAAAATGTTTTAGAGGAACATGGTATGTTCATACATGTAAGTATAAAGATCAGTATGAAGCTGAGACCAGCCCCTCAGCAATTATTGTGGTCTTCCTAGACTTTTAGAATTCATAATTTTATTCACTATCTCTCTTTCAGTGATACTCCATCAGAGGTACAGAGCAAGAAGTGTCCGAAGCTTACAAGTAACACTACCTGTCCTGGGCTTGAAAATTTTTTGGTGGCAGATTCAGGATAGGTCTCATCACTATGTCCATAAGTGTATTTTTAACTCCTTCCTCATGTGAGACAAAAACTTTGCACCATTAGTTCCCAACAGCAAGCTGCAGCCCAAATAACCTCCCTCTCGTACTTCTTCATCCAAGAACTGGCGCATTTTGTGCTGGTTTTGGCTGGGATAGTGTTAATTTTCTTCACAGTACCTAGCATGGGGCTGTGTTTTGGATTTGTGATAAAACAGAGTGGATAATGCAGAAATGTTTTCATTATTGCTGAGCAGTGCTTACAGTCGAGGCCTTTTTCACTTCTCACCCCACCAGCAAGTAGGCTGAGAGTGCACAAGCAGCTGGGAGGGGAAACAGCTGGGACAGCTGACCTCAACTAACCAGAGGGATACTCCACACCATATGACATCATGTTCAACATATAAAGCTGGGGGAAGAAGAAGGAAAGAGGGGACTTTGGAAGCAACAGTGTTTGTCTTCCCAAGTTACAGTTATGTGTGACAGAGCCCTGCTTTCCTGGACATGGCTGAACATCTGTCTGCCCATGAGAAGTAGTGAATTAATTCCTTGTCTTGCTTTGCCTGTGCACACGGCTTTTGCTTCACCTATTAAACTGTCTTTATCTCAATCCATGAGTTTTCTCACTTTTCCAATTTTCTCCCCCATCCCACTGGTCAGGGGAGTGAGCCAGCAGCTCGGTGGTGCCTAGTTGCTGGCTGGGGTTAAACCACAATACATTTTTAAAAGGCACCCTCCTGGAAGGCAGCAACTGACTCAGACTACAGATTTCCACAGTATACTTGGTCTGGTTCAAAAAAAAAAAAAAAAATCGAATATTCAAGTTAAAATCATTTCAACAACAGAAGTGGAGTAACAGTTCTTCACATTTCTGCATGACCTTTCACCCTGGGAACCGAAAGCTGCTTACACACTGCACAAGGTGAATTTCACTGAACTCTTGTGAACTAGTTACACATTACACACAGTAGTAAGCCAAGGCTGTGAGAGGTGCTAGGGAGTTGCCCAAGAACACACTGCTGGACAATAACAAAAAACTCAATATACACAGGACTTACGATAACCCCAAAGATGGTACAGTTACTCCAATAATTTTTTTTTTTTTTCTTTTGGATAACCAAAAGCAGGAATTAAACAGTTACACATCAACTGATCTGGCCAGTACTCTTTATAATTCAGATGATGGTACTATTCTTTTTGATAGTTGCTAAGGTTTTAGTAATTTTTTTTTTTTTTTACATTATCTCTTTTGGAAGCTGAAAAATACAATACACTGAGATTAAAAAATGTCCTTTCTCTCCTCAGTCATGACTGTAGGAATGTGTTATGGGACAGGAAGATAAACTTCTCAGTGCCACGACAGTTTTAGTTGTGATTTTTGTGACATACAACCCAGTAGCAGAGCACATTGCTGCTGTGGAAGGTTTTTTTTCAGGTCTCCTTGCTCTAAGAAGATTGATATGTTTGTCACCGCCATCTCCTCCTCTCGGCAGGTACTTCGATTGCTAAATTTCATAGCAGGGCTCAAGACAATCCCTCCAACATGCCACATAACATACAAGAATGAATTTGTGCAAGGTCTGTACTCACGCAGAAGTTGTCTGCATGTCATGCCAGCTTTTGCTAAAGTTCTGCTTCAGTTCATTCATCAGACTTATGCCAAGCTTTTGTTTAATTTCAACCAGGTGTTTTTCTTTGGCTGCTAGGACTTGCCGCAAAGTTGAAATTTCATCCTCTAGCTAAGAGACACAAAGAGGGAGGAGAAAAGAGAAAGGTATTAGCCTGTTTTCACTGAACGATAAACACATAGATGTTAAGAGATCAAATTAATCCAAAAATTTGCATTTTTCATAGGTGCCTGGAGAGACAGAGAGATTCAGGTGCTTATGGAGATCACAAAGATATACCCAGAACAGAGCTGACACTTCATTAAGTGAATGTCTCAAACTATGTCATATATGTGCACCATCATTCACACACACGCATCCGATAAGAGAGAATTCTCCAGTTCAGAAATGACTATTGAGCTACTTGACCAAAGTCTGCCTTAGAACATTAGAAGTCTCAAACATCAGCTTTCCATTCACTAGTGAAATGGGAATGGGCAGAACAAGAGAAGACTGGATAATTCAGGCAGATATCTCTCTTTGAATGCATAGGCTTTTAACTTCATATTTGCAGCTTTTTAGTCATCCACTCACGAAAAAAATAGATGTAAATTCTTAGGAGCGGGTTAAAAAAATAAAAATCGCATGATAGCATAAGACTTGAGTATCATAAAAAGTTACGTCCTTGTCACATGAATTTTATCTGTATATTTCAAGCCTTACGTATTTCAAAATTGTAAAATAAAAACATGTAGCAGATGGACTGTTAACATGAGTGAACAGGTCCTATCCAAAGCATAGAAGCATTCAAATGACACAGCAGATTAGTCTTTTTAGAGTTCCTAGTCATTAACCAAACTGGGAGAAGTTGTAAAGACACCATTCAGCCCCAACAGAGGGATACAATTTTCCTTGCAGTGGACGTTATTTCAAACGTATAAACCAAGCCAGGGTTTTAGCAAGGCAAGGACCAGAACACTTGACAGAGAAAAGGGACGGCTGAATCAGCCTGCCACCAGCTCCGGATCCCACCTCAGGCAGCACTCCTGCGAGCACTCCTCCTTCAGAAGCCTCCCAAGCCACTAATACAAGCAGCACTCAGAGCTACTGAAGCTAACAAGGGCAAGCAACACCAGAGCAGCTGCCTTTCACTTCAGGTTTAGAAGTTCCCTTACCAACTGTGCTCCTTCCTCCATATGCTAATAGAATAACATATGGTAATGTATCTGATTACCATATGTTAAGTTCCCTGGAACCACAGTCTCCCTGTGATTTAGCTCCATAGGCTGCAGAGAAAGAGGCAAGCACCAGCTGAATCACTTGCTGACCTCCAGGGCTATATTTAGGACGTTAATACCAGCATTATTTTTATTTCACGCACTCACCCATTCTGCTTCCCTGTAAAACCGGCTACAAGCTCATTGTTCTGGGAAAAGTCTAACCCTGGAATCCTCCAGCTATCTGTTTGTCTTTTGTCACTACCTGCTATCTAAATTATTCAAGCAGCTAAGAAATTAAGCAGCAAGACTATGAACACAAAGCAAAATCATGACCTCAGTGAAGCAGATACCGGTATTCACTGGCCTGTGATGCCAACACTTCGCTGGTAGGATACATAATAATCCAAAATTCTTTTATTCCTTGCCATGTCCTTTATGCTTCATTATATTCCTAACCTGCAAACGAAACACTATCAAGAGGCAGCACGAGTTTCTCTTCTGAGAGGATAACTGGTTAAATGCTTTCAGAAAGAAGGAATCACAAACGTCAGCATTCCTCGAGTGGCAGTTCAGAGCTCCCTTTAGCTGTTTCCCACCCACAGCAAACTCCTTAGTGCACAAGTCCACCTGAGCGACACTGCTAAAGAACTTAACTTAAACCAAGATCAGTATGCTTACGGGTACTTAAACATTAATTCTTTCCATATGGGCTAGCACTAGGCTGATCACTAGGTACCTGGATATGTAAACATTTAAGGGCTTCTATTAAAATTACTTTCCATCTGTTCTGTTGAACAGACACCTAAAGCTGTACAGCCCTAAGCAAGCATTAACCATATGCTCAATGGCATAAGTATGAACAACATTTTTGACTGTATGAAGAATAATAAATTATTTTTAATTAGAGATCAGAGTCTGGTTTTGAATTTACAAAAACCTTCTCAAGTTCCATCATTTTAAAATAATGGCAGATACAAAGCCTTCTTCCCTCAAGTGCTCCAGGTATCAGTGATTGAAGACTGTGAAGCAGGCAGAAAGGATTAGGGACTTATAGTGGGATCCTGAAAAGCATTTAAGCAGGTTACATATCTAACTCCCATGGAAGTCAGGCATCACCTGCTTAGGCATTTTTGAAAAGTCCACTCTTATAATTGCAGACTCCATTATGAATCTAGGGCTTAAGTCAACAGCTTCTAGTCCTCACGTTTCCCTTCTTTCTAAGTACAACAGAGTCAGAATCATAGAACCATTTAGGTTGGAAACAACCTTTAAGATCATCGAGTCCAACTGTAAACCTAACACTGCCAAGTCCACCACTAAACCATGTCCCTAAGTGTGACATCTACACATAAGATAAGGAAAGATGCATCATATACAAAGTTCCTCTCTTCCTTTTTGTGGGCTTAGGAATCGCTTAACAGCCATTTTTTCTTTCCGCTATTACTGTGTAGGACGTGCAAAAGCAAGAAGGGTAGCTGAGCACCTAAGACATTATGTTTCCCAGGATTAGCCGACATGAATAACATGTAAATCACCCAAAGGTGAAACCCCAGGAAAAAAATCCACAATTAAAGACAGATGTCTCCAAAATCAGGGACAGACTAATAATATGGAAGAAAGACAGTGAAGTCCAGATAAATCCAGTGCACAAACACAAAAAAGTATCTTCCCTTGTTTTGTATTTTTTGATTATTTTAAGGCAAATTGTATGTTTTAGGGGGTTGAACATCCTTTTGAGATGGTGGCATGCCTGAAAAAAAACATCCCAGTAATTCTCTAACATATAACCTTTCCCATTTTTTTTCCAGTAGACACTCACAAAAGAGCTCATAAAAAACGAACCAGAAAGTACTTATTCAGTGAAATGGAGCATTTTGGATAAACTACTATTAATAAAAAATGTCAGCTGGTATTATCTATATTATGAGATACACACACTACTACATAAAATGCGGAGGCGGAAAGATTCAGCTATTGGTTGGAATAATACTGATGGACGTGTTGAATGGTAAGCTGAACAGTAAACTGCGTATTTATTATGCCTGTTTTAAGGATCAAGGCAGTAAGTGATTAAAACGTTATGAGGCCCCAACAGAAAACAAAAGCCAGCACAGTTAAACGTGTACTTCTTAGTTAAATTAAATATCCCTTTTCCCTACTGCTACACCACTCAAATATGTAGTGCCCTGGCCTGGCTGTTTGCACAGCCCTTCTCACCAGGGAGAGCTGAGCCAGGTAAAAGCCACCACAGAAAAAACAAGGGCTATTTTCCAGCCAGATCAGTTCCCAGATCCAGCGGAGAGATGCGCATAAGTACCTGTGCAGGCACAGCGCAGGGGGCAGGAACAAGTGGCTGGAGATGGAGAAGACCATCTGGGAAGGTCTTCCAGAAGGGAGGGATGCCATCCAGAGGGACCTC